TTGGTCGCCATTAGTGGCGATTCGGTTCAAAGCAATGGTCGGTTCGCCCCTAAGATTCCTGAGTCGAGTCATCGCTTCCCGAATGTAATGGTTTTGTTGACTAAACTTTGTTTCGCTGATCTTTCCGGTAATCAACTGATCCGAGACACCAATGATGGCGAACCACAACAACTCGTTGTTATCTTTGGACAGTTTCCACGAGAGATCAAACATGACGAGCGCTGAAGAGTAGGAGCAGTGCGTGAACTGTGAGTAACTGAAGGTCAATGTCTTCCTCTTCTCCTGCCATTCCTTTTTGTCACTCCTTTTCTTCAGCTGTTCCATCGATAGCTGTCTCACGTCCTCCTCATCGTCGTCGCCGTCTGAGTCCCAGAAGAGTTCCTCATATCTGGGAATAGACTCGATCTCAGACTCGGCTGAATTCAGACCAGTGATGGTGCAGATGATTGAGATCTGTTTGTCGTGATAGGCGTTGTAGACATCGATGGGTCGCCGGGAGTCGCAGATGAAGATCCGCACGGATGGGTCCGGACTCAAGAAGTCGAGGANCTGGGAATAGACTCGATCTCAGACTCGGCTGAATTCAGACCAGTGATGGTGCAGATGATTGAGATCTGTTTGTCGTGATAGGCGTTGTAGACATCGATGGGACGCCGAGAGTCGCAGATAAAGATCCGCACGGATGGGTCGGGACTCAAGAAGTCGAGGACATCGAAAGTACTGCCGATGTTCACCAGAAGTACGGTTTTGAGACCTTCCGAGTGGTCTCTAAAAGATGTCAACAATTCGTGTTTGTCTTTGATTGGGATTATGGTGTGGAGGATGTGATCGCATCCCAAGAGATACTGAAGTATTTTTGTGGCACTAATTGAGTCCAAATCGTAGGACACATACACCAGAAGACGACCTCTCGATTTGAGGACATAGTCATAAAAGTCAGTCTTAATGTCATTAATAAACATTTTGAATGTCTTTGACGGCAATCAACGGTTCAATGAGTCCATCAGACACTCAATCACTCACTGAAGACAACAAACATCTGAATGAATGACAAAAAGCGCCAAAACTTCTAAAACGGCTCTCAAATTGAAAGTACTTTCAAAGGGACCGACACTTCATTTACAACTGCAGTCCAAACTCTATTGCCTCTCATTCTGTCTCACATTCCTATAGAATTGCATTTGCATTGCAATTGTTATTCCGTTGGCTATACTATAGCCTATACTATAGCCGCTATAGTTTAGTGTTTAGTTTAATTGTGATATGATATTATGTGATTATATTAATGGTGAGATTATTACCTTATATAATAAGTGTACAGAATTGTTAATCCCTGATATCCCTGCTAACAAACTTTGGAGATATGGTGAGCATATCATAGAATTATTGACCTAAAGAATTGATCACTTATTATGTCTATATTTGTAGAAATTATTCACATTTTCTTTAAATAATCAGTTTTTGTGTGACTTTTATTAGACAATTAGACTTTTATTACCCGTTCATAGAGATTACAGTAGTGCCATCATAAATTGAAGGTACTAAAACAAAATTTCAAAAGACATACCATGGTCATTATTAAGATAAACTTTTATATTGTAATTGATAGATATTTATATATTGGGAAAATGATAGTAAAGTTAGATTAGTAATAAATGGCAATATAGTAGTGTCTTGTAATGTAAGATGTTTGTCCAATCAATCAATTTAATTATTTATGTTTTACTAAACTAATTGAAAAATGCTTTCAATAGTTAGATAACTATAGTTATTCAGAATAACTTATCCTAGAAATGAACAGGAACATGAAATAGTGACACCTTGCAATACCTTATATTATTAACAATAAAAGCTGTACGGATTAAAGTGTGGTGAACAATTGAAAAAAGGGTCATAAATTGAGTCAAATTATGACTAAATTAAATGATTTCAATGCTATACTCAACAACTGGTGCAATGAATTGTAAGAGAAATGTAGAGAAATGTAAGTTTGAAAGAAAGCGCTTATGAATAATGAATGGATAGACAGTGAATGCATTGACTGACACTTGGATGCAATGATCGCAATGTTATGAATAGAGGCAATGATAACATCCAACACTTGTCTCTCTCATCATTTAAATGACTATTTCATTGAAACGAGTCATCAAATGATTGGCTTATTATGAAAGTAATGTTTAGTGCCTTTAATTTGATTGTCATTTAATCGTCAAACTTATGACATGTAAACAGATGTCATAAATGTGTAGACAATCAGTGATTAGCGAGAAATTTATTTTTCACGTGAAATGCAAAATAAGTTAACTTTAATTGAGTCCAAAAATAGTGATAATTTGGTAAAACAATTGATTTTCATGAATGTCTTGAAGTGATGTCTGAGCTAATGGTTGTGTCGTTTGGTGGATAGGAATCTGTGGTGAGGATGAAGTGTCTTCGCACGGAAGAGGCGGCCCAACAGCCATATGAAGAGGTGTCCGCTCGGCTCCAATCAGACCTGAGGAATGGCTTGCATTGGGATGAAGTGGACAATCGGCACAAAGTTTATGGTTATAACGAACTCGAGGTTAAGGCAGAGGAACCGCTGTGGAGGAAATATATCGATCAGGCATTGCATCCATTGATTACATGTGGAGACCATCGAGTGATTAACTGATTGTTTGCTGTATTTATAGTTCAAAAACCCGTTAATTATATTACTTCTGGCCTCAGCTCTGGTCAGCGTTTGTATGCAACA